AAAAAAAAAAAAAAAAAAAAAAAAAGGTACTTTGAAGCAGAAGACTATATTCTTTAAGAATACCAAATTGGGAATGAAATAAACTTAGATTTGAATCTTGAAACTTCCACTTACTTAATAATTTTGTGTGTGGAGGGGGGCTGTCAGGTTCACCTTTTCAAACTCCAAACTCTGTATTTGTAAAATATATTCAATATCTTCTTTTTAGGGTTTTTTAAAAATTAAAATAAAATAGTACATAGTGAGGCTTGGATATAGTGCCTGAAATATGATAAAAATGACATCATTTTATTCATTTTGACCCAAATGGTAACTGGCACATAGTAGATATTTAAAGGGTATAGACATTCGTTACTAGTGCCCCTTATTGATAGCAGTGCTTAAGGAAGACTTGAAGAAATGGCGAGTAATCAGAGAACCAGTGGGGCCTTCGGGATATGAATAAACTTTATTGATTCTACAATGTCTGAGTGACTGCAGCCTTTGGTGAGAGGTTATGCAAAGTCTCAAGTTCGGCTTAGGGAATATACATTCATGAAGGTTTGTGCTTTTATCCCATAATAATCAGTTCCATCCTAGCTCAGTCTCTCTCTAATCAACAGAAAAAAACCTACATCCAGTAATGTGCGTTATATGCAGCACATTACTTGTCTGGGATAAGAAACATAATCCCTTAAAAACAATCTTTTCTCCAATTAAGAGATATTGTTCTTGAGGTTCCAAACCAGAGACACTGTCTTCTTATAGACTCTTGATATGATCTCTACACTCATCATTTACCCTCAGAAGAGTTCCAAAATGGCTCTGTACCCTATTGACATCTGGTATCAAGGATAACACATGAAAAAGATGGAGATACCTGCTGTGGAAGTGAACAAACATCACTATAGGAAATGTAGGTCTACCCCAAATTTCCTTATCCATAGGCGAGGAAAAGCAAGATATTACAGAGCTTTGAAAATTGCTGCTCAGAAACAAAGGAAGATGATCCTTCTGATTTCAGATCTTTACCCTTTAAGTTCAGCTCCATCTTTGCTTAATAATTCTCTCTGCAGGCCTATGAAAAGGTTTGCAAAGTAAACAAAATAAATGCACTTGTAATATTCTCTAACATGATTTCTATGCCTTAGAAAAAATTCTAGAAAACACTTGTTCCGAGGGACAAAACCTTTTCATAACGAATGATACTTAACTAAGGCCTAGGCCAACTGATTTTATAGCTGTACAAGGAAGTTTTCAAGTGTGGCCAGAGGTGATCTCTTTGGTTGTCCATAAACAACAGGAGCTCAGACTAATCCCTTCTGAAAGGAAAAGGGAAAATCCAACTGAACAACTTACAAGAGACTCTGGGTTGCAAATGAATAATGTTTGTTTGTGCATTTGTGTTGACTGTCTAAGATAAAACCCATCCAAAAATATGCATTTCCTACTAGAGTGGTAGTTAGGGTCCAGAAATTAGAGCCTTGTCTTTGATTTTCTAAGACAATGATTTTTTAACTTTATCCAATGAACAGGGGAAACTATTGAATATTTTGAGAAGAGTAACAATACAATGAGATTTTAAATTAAAAAATCCAACCTGGCTACCATGTGGAAAGGAAATTAGAAAGCAGTCAAAAAGGACACAGATCCAATTCCATGATCTAGGTGAGAAATGATGGCAGCCTTGGGTTAACTAGAGTAGAACTGATAAATCTTGATAGTGGGATGGATGTGAAGAATAAAGGAGAGGGGTAAAGAATAACTCATATGCTTCTGGCTTTGTAAGAGACAAGTTTGAACTCTGTCATGGAGACTCAGTGAATGCTAGCTATAATTTAATAATTCCTACTCTCCTAACGAGAGGGCCTCCCTGAACATAGGTGTCCTCATAAATGAGGGATCAGAGTACCCACCTTGGAGAGTTGTGAAGATCCATTGCAAAGCCCTCAACAGCGTGCCTGGTAAAGAAGAGAGACTCAGTAAACATCAGGCACTTTCCTTTCCTTCTTAGCCTTCGTCTGTTTCCCTATGCTGCCTCTTTAAGAAAAGGGTCTGTATTTATTTCATCATTGCTTCTCCAGTCTGGTACATTGGTAGGTGCTCAATAAATGCTTGTGGAATCAGTGAGTGGTCTGATGTTACTGGGATGGGGTGTAACCACTTATTCATTTATATTTTCCTTTAATAAATTATTCTTAAAAGCACTCTGGCAGGACTTGCAAGTGGTAGAGCTGTTGACTTTGTAGTGGGTGGTTTAGTGGAGAGTCAGGTTTGAGTTTGGGGATTTGAGGGAAGAGCCTGTTAAGCTGAAGGAAATGTGGGAGCATCACAAATAAAACCAACCAGGCAAAATGTACCACAGACATTTCTGACATAAAAGTACACCATATTTTTAAGTTCATTACTGTGTATAATTTTCCATTACTGAGGATAAGTTTGACAAGTGTTCATGAGATGGGATATATCCTCATTAAAGAAAAAAATAGAAAACACATTCACACTGAGCCACAGAAAATCTAGTTTACATGAAAATATTTTACCCCTGCCAATGAATACACTAAAGACCTAATCTGTTTGCAAAAGTAAAACTGACTGGCAACATGCCATTTCTTGAAAATACCTGATGTATTAGTCAGGGTTCTCCAGAGAAATAAAACAAATAGGGTGTATAAACATAGAGAAAGAGTTTTTGTTTTGTTTTTTAAGGAAATGGCTCACATGATTATGAAGGCTGGCAAGATTCAAGATCTTCAGTTGGCAAGCAAGAGACCCAGTCAGAACGCTGGCAGGCTTGAGACACAGGAAAAGCTGATGTTTCAGTTAGAGTCTGAAAGCAAGAAAAAATTGATGCCTCAGCTCAAAAGCAGTCAGGCAGAAGGAGTTCCCTCTTGTGCCAGTGGATCAGCCTATTGTTCTATCCAGGCCTTCAACTGATTGGATGAGGCCCATCCACCTAGGGGAGGGCAATCTGCTGTACTCTGCCTACCAATTCAAATGTTAATAGACACACCCAGAATAATGCTTGACCAAGTGTCTGGGCTCTCCATGGCCCAGTTAAGTTGGCACATAAAATTAACTACCACACCTGATAAGATGCAATATGCCATCACAAGGGAGATTTCTGTCATAAGTTAATATGTCAAGAAAGCATTTCTTCAGCCGACTCTTTCGCTCTCTCTTTCCTCTCTGCTCTGCTTCTTCTCAGTACATGAGTTCCTTTTCTCTTTATGCAAACTTGGGGGGAAACACTTTGGGATGGAAACTAACTTTTATGGTGTATCACTCTACGCCATGCATTTAACCAGGTACTCTTTCACACTGTCCCCACAAGGAGTAGGAAGGCCAGGAGGACTCATCAAAGTGGTAACAGCCCTGGGAGAGCCATTGCAGCACAAAATCTGTTGCTCTGCCTTGTCTCTATAAAAACTCAATCTTGACAGTGCCCCAGCTTAGTCAAACTTGGGAATTATAGCTCACACAAACTAGATGGAGGAGATTTCTATACAAACCAGGGGGAAAATTCATTAATTGCAATGAGAGATACAACTGCCAAGGGATCCTCTAGCCAATTCCTTCCTTCCTTGTAAAGTTATATCAGAAGTGAAATTACAATCAAAATATCATTTAGTGAATATGAATTCAGAGTAAGTAGGGGTTGATTCAAATAAGATGTTCCATGGCATCAAGCAAGGAATAACTAATGCTATAATTTCAACAATCAGCACCAAAGAGCCAACTCTCTTGGGAACAAATTTCTCTAGAATTCTCTGCCAAAGTGTACTTCATGGATTCTTTCTTTTCTTCTCTCATTTGCCAGGCTGACCAACTCCCTTTCTGTTTAACACATTATTTCTTTTAAAAATATTTAACAGGTTACAAGTCAAATCTTATAGGTTTATAAGCTATTCTGTTTCAGTAAGATTATTTCCATATTTCTGCTATTAACTGCCTTCATTTTTCAAAGAGAATCTCACTGTTTGACTTTATTTTCATTAATAACCATTTAATCTTTATAGCAATTCCTCTCTGGTAATCTATTGCTGATTCTCACAAAATGTAGTGGCTTAAAACAAGAACAATTTTATTAATATTCCCAGCACATTCCCAATGTCATTTTCAGCTCAAGTTTTTGGTATAACTGACATCGGATGTGGCTCCCCTGACAATTTTTGGAAGGAGTAACTTTTATATTTCCTATTAAATAGCTTTCACAAATGTACTGCCCTTTAGACATTTTTTACTCCTTACCACTTATACAATCATATCCCTCCTATGTTCCAACCTCTTAGAAATCCAAAGAGTGATTGACTAACTCATATGTTAGACTAACCCATCTGAAGGTATTAATGCAGGTTAAAACCAGAAGGTGATGTCTTCTCCTAGATAAGATCATTCTTCAATGCCTTAAGCTAAAGGAGTCAGTACCTTTGAAATTCAAGCCGCAAACAGTGTAGATAGAAAGAAAAGAAGAAAAAAAATCGAGCCTGGGAAGGGGACATTTGAAGGTAAAGAATTAATTTACTTATAGGAAAACACATACTGACCCACTAGACAATTCTTTGGTAGAAACTGCCATTTGGTGACAGCCCAGGAAAGTAAATATAAACTTAATAAAAAGATATTTTAAGTCACTTTCTAAAGGGTTTATAATCTCTGGCAAAATTCCCATTCTAACAAGTAATATTAATAAAGAATCACAAGGCATTGGACCTCATGCCTCGTGAGACTAAGCATGACTTACTATAAGGATCTCATAAGAAAAACTCATTAGATTCCTGATACTTCATGGTTACCAAAATGTTGAGACCTCAGAAGACATTTTACTCTTGTGGTTTTCCACAGAAAACCATGAGGTACAGAAATTGTTTTTGAGCTACTATGTTCATTTACTCAACAAATATTTGTTGAGCGTTGCTATGTGACAGAAACTGACAAAGGTATAAGCAACACAGCAAAGAAATCATGTGAGAACTTTCCACATTTCCCTCCCTCCTTCCCTCTCCTTCCCTCCTCCCTTCCTTCCATCCTTCCTTCCTTCCTTTATTTTCCTTCCAAATCTTTAGCTACCATCATCTTTCTACCATAGTTTATTTAAAGGAAGAAATTCTAGAGGCATAAGGCTGGACTTTACAAGGAAAAACAGTTTTTGGACAGACGTTGATTCCAGAAGAAATATTCCTATGTAAAGCACAACTCCAATAGTCACTGTTAATCCCCAGAGTAACTCTCTGAGAGCAATTTTTTTTTTTCTCACAACTACATTGTTTTTCCTTAAGAAACAGTATTCACAATATTTTCAGAAATACCTTGAAATATTTGAAATACAATCCTGAAATATTTGAAATGAAATACAATCCTGAAATCATTTGTGAATCATCACACCCCACCTTACTTTTCCTCTCCCTTCTGAACTGCCGGCCAATGAAGCAGTTTCATTTTCACTTTTTCAAAATGATAGTATAAAAAAACAGAAGTGAAAGTATGAATCATAGTAAAATCAGGCATACATAGTGAGATATCCATTTATAACTCAGAAAACCACGGGGTATTTCCAAGCTGATGTCATTCATAGAAAGAATCCCATGTGTTGCAGAAGAATATGAAAAATTTCGTGGGCCAGCTGGGGGATTTGGAATACACGTGGGACATTCCCAGCTAATCATTTTTATTTAAAAAAATTTTATTACACAGATTGACCTATATTTCAAATGTTTAATTTGATACTGACCTCAGAAATTACACACTGGATTCTGGGTTATACTCTTCTGTTCTGATAACTGAGATGATGTACACTGAGATTTTACATTAGAAAGTATAATACCGAACAGCCCAAGCGCCCATCAGTAGATGAGTGGATAAAAAAGCTGTGGGACATTCACACCATGGAATACTACGCAGCTGTAAAGAAGAAGGACCGCGTACCCTTTGGGTCAGTATGGAAGGACCTGGAGAATATTATGTTAAGCAAAATAAGGCAGGCAAGGAAAGACAAACATCACATGATCTCACTCATATGTGGAATCTAAAGAACTGAATAAACTGATGAGCAGGAATGATTTAGTGACATGGAAGCATGGATCAGACTGACGAATCTCAGAGGGAAGGAGTGGGTGGGTGAGGAGAGATTAACCAAAGAACTTAAA